CCTTCATACTGCGTATGAGACTGCTAAGAGTATCTTTCTCATGCCACTATCGGTTCATCTGTTAGCAGTCAGTAGGTCGAACGGCATCATTGGCTGCGGCGATAAGACAATATGCGATTCTTGACTGCCATTTTCCATCGTGATGCAGAATGCAAACACGATGACACGAACACCGTGCCTGATAGTTCTGTGTAGCCGCTTGTATAAGAATAATTATAACTGACAGACGATCAGTCATCAGAACTGCTTCGATTTGCAGCTTGTTGACAACATTACCTTGATCATCTCAATCTGTAATACATACGCCGCTACCTTGTTTCTACATGTTGCCTGCTAGCCATCTGATCGACGTCTGCCGTGTTTTGGCTCCCACATGAGAAGCTCGCTGGCTGGAGTATATTATGCGTGCTTAACCAGTGTTTTAAAGTGCCAACCTCCTCATAATCATCACATCTACTGAGATAACCTGCTCTTAGAGGAGAATTGCTATTGTTAACGTCATCCGGCCATTGGGCCTTAATTAAGGGCTGAAGCTAAAGCTGCTGTACTCAATTCAACTGTCGTTCTTGCTTCTTCGCTAGAACAATTGTCCCATGTCATAACAGATGTCTAACGTAGTCAAACCCCTAAAGAGTTCCAACTCTCTTTTCCACTTGTAAGTCAGCTGTGCTGGATGGGTTCCTCATAACATTTTAATTCCGTGCGTTAAAGAAGCGGCCAGATTTCAAAGCTGTTGCATACGGAAGCCATCGGGTAACACAGCATGGCCATGAGCTACCCACTAGGACAATATCATCTGTAAAATTCAGGTTACGAAGGTACACAGGCAAAATATCTTGAAATGCGTTTTCAGTAAAAAACGAGATCTTGATCTTTTCCAGGGCAAGCACTGTTTCGGCGAAGAAAATCGAGAATAATACTGAATGGCAAAGGGGAAAACACAACTCCCTGACGAGTTCTTCTGCTAATAGGAACTACTAATATATAACTCTTCAACTCTGAGAGCAAAGACGATTTCTACATACATCTTTACCAGAATGGAAACGATGTACTCAAAAATACCAGAGTATTTCAAAATCTTCCATGACGCAGTGAATCAAAGGAGCATTAAGGTAGAAGAAACTGGCTAGCCAAGGCAAATGGAATAGTCGACTTTGAACAATTATCAGACGTGGAGGGAAATTTAGTTAAGGCAAGACTACCCCATCTGAATCATTTTTATAAAATTTCCTATCAACTGCGCGCGACAGCTTTTCCAAGATTATCCAAAAATTTCGGGGAGTTAACAGATATGTGAAAACTGCAACGCTCAGTCGCCCCACTACACTTAAATATGAGGAAAACTCCTCCACGCTTTCATTCTTCAAGGAATTGCCTCCAGGTCTATATTTTACGAAACATGAAATGGAGCTATTCGATCATTCACGTTTCTCCATAGGCAATTAATTTTAGAGAAATTCGATGTATCCCGCAGGCTCTGTTTAGTTGGGGAGGGGTGTAGCAAGGCTTTCTGATGTTCTAACATTGCCGGTGGATCTGCAACCTCTAATGTTGGCAGGCAATTGACGGACTGAGAAAAGGAATTCGGAAGGTAGCCGTTGAGAATCTGCTGGAAATGCTCAA